AAATACAAAAATGTATACAAAAGTTAAAACATCTTCAAAAACACTAACAAAATGGCAAATAAACTTAATATACAAAAAAATCAAATCTTACCAGATACAAAATCAACAATAATACGGCTGGATGGCAAAGATGACAATCGGATTACAGCGGATAGAATCTTGCAATAAAGTTGGTAAAATCTTTTGGTAAACAAATATGGCGGAAAACAAATGAAGTGCGCATGTGCGGAGACTAATGGTTATAACACAGAATTGCGCCCTCACACTACTGTTTTGTTTTCCATCGTATTCAAAACACATGATTTTCTCGGCCTCCATTGCTATCGTCTGCAGCGAGAGCTACAATGAATATCATTTCAGGAGGTAGATCAGTTCAGTGACCCACTGGGGGGGGGGGGGGTACCGGAACGAATTACCAGGCCAGAAAGCGATTGGCAAATATATATATATATTAATAGAGGTACATTACTTGGGGTTCGCAACTCGCATAGTACTGTATTGTGACATCATGTCAAGATCCCATTCAAGTCTCTTCTCGTAGATAGCGAGACTGAGGCTACGACCTTCTGACATGACACATATCAATGTTCAAGGTTTGTAATGAAAAAATAAAACTTTTCTTGTCACTATCATAGTGAAAAATGTAATACATCGAAAATGTACAGAAAATATAGTTCTCGTAATCCGTCATATCGTGGGCAGCTATTTTGATCCACCTGGACATCCCAGTATCCTAGTTACCTCGGGCATGCGCATTCGCATTTTTCTGAGTTGGAACGCTTATGCGAGAGCGAGATTGTGATGGGATCTTGGTATCATGTCACCGTTGTTGCAAACCCCAAGTAATGTACCTCTGATATTAATAATATTACTCGATATCAATATGGTTAGATATTTTTGTGTAATCAATAGTTTATTATTTGTATTATCCGTTTCAGATGTTAGTTTGTTCAACCAATATTGGAGACAATAACAATCTGCAGCGAACGATCACTTACCACGACTATACTGTCGGCACTGGTAAGTACATGCCAATTTATGTAGTATTCGTTTCAAGAATTGGGACATACAAATCGGTTAAATTGAAACTATGATTTGATTGCTTTGTTTTTTGTATGACATAGCCTCCTTGTTTTGTGATTCCCACAATTGCCACTTCCTGACATCACAATTGCCAGAACAAGATGTGCGTGTACACGGAGTCAATCGTTTATTCCCTGTATCTATTGCACTTAAATAAACGCGATGCCCTATCTCTGTTAATTCAACTAATGCTTGTATACGATGTCCTAATATAATTAATTGTTTTTCTCACATTGTTTCAGTTTTGGTCAACATCTACGACGAAAACGATCGCGTAACGGTAGATACGTCGGGAATCACAATAAATCTTATTAGTGGAGAAGGCAAGATATATCTTCCAGAATCTTACATGGGATAAATTACGTCACGCATCTGTATACGATTTTGTATATGATTTATGAATATCTATTAACAAAATAAAACAAATATATGGCATCAAATACATGGTATAACAACGTTTGCTTTTATTATAAACTGTGTAAGAAGATTTTTAACTGGCATATGATCTGTGCAGCTGTAAAAAGAAATGTTTAAAATCTTTCAATATTGGGACAATCAGTAACTGTTGACGAATATAAGTTCAATTCCCACTGACGGCGTGGCAACAACGTCTGGAGTATTGAACTGAAGCTAGTCTGTAATGAAAGTCGTGTTGTTTGATTACCAAACTAATCACACTTTTCATCAATGCTTTTAGTCTTTTAAATTTGGTTTTGAAGATTCTGTTTGATAAGATTTATCAAAAACTGTACATAATTCATAGCCCTTGTGATGTTTACATGGGTCAATGGGAGGTTCTGTGCAGATCATAATAAAAGATGCATCATCAACCCAAAAGAGAGAATTACATGTTATGCATAACCGGTTCCCATTTTATGAAAAATGCCAGCTTTTAGATTTATGTGATGTGACACGTGCACAGTGAGGTACATAGAAACGTCGATTAAAGATGCTGTTATTTTGTTTGAATACGACCAGAGATAAGATAACGCGATAGCTTATGCTCAACGTAAAACCGCAAGCAAGTTGTGTGCTAATGATGTGTTTTTTTTAATCCGTGACTCCCATGTGTATTGTTATTCTGTCTAATTCCACCTTCCTCATCCTATATATTTTGATTGTGTTTGCTATTGGCTCTAAAACGTACCAACACGTGTTTGTACATATATCATGGAATAATAAACCGAAATGACAACGCAGAACTGGATGGCATGACAAACGCACCAACAATGAGCAATCAGTTGCACGGTTTGTTTGCTTATTATATTGATGTGTTTCTGCAGGGAGATTTTTGCCAATCTGAAATCGTTTTTTGCAATTCATTATACATATATTGTGATAATGACCGTGTTGTATGCATGGAGATAACGCAAGCTGCAACTGAAACACATCGAATGTTGATGGACTAATAATTTGGTAAACAACAGTAAAATATTATCAATGCTATTAAATTATCGAATACCTTCATAAATAGTTGCGTTGTCATCTATTTCTATAGCACACATACATCATTGTATTATAGATTAGTCAGTGTTGACAATTTGGTATAGTTTCCCACCAGGTAATCGTTGATTGAAAGTGTTAATTTAGAAAAAATGACAATCTGTTGTTTTGTTATTTATATGTATCTCTCTATGTTTATAATAAATAGTATATATATCTAAAATCTAAGACCGTTCTGCAAATCTAGTTTTATCCACAGTATTAAGAACTAACAGTATAACGCTAATAAGGCTAATGTCCACTTTCGATTGTTTCGGTTGTACACTTAGATTAGTTAATGACCAAAATTAACATTTAGAAGATCACGGCTTTATACAAAATGGTATATTGAAAATTACGGAATGCGTATTTTGTTTTTCGTTGATATATACCGCTGTTACTAGTAACAATGAAATGAACACAGATGTACTCTTGTCATTACATGTATAAGTACAATCATGTGGATTCTGTCAATATGTCTATGTACTGTATAATGAATTACAAAGAAACACGAGTGTTAAGCTAACAGTCATGTAGTGAAAACTGTTACAATGTGTCGAGCGACACTTGCCAAACATCATGGGACGGGTGAAAAGGACTTAAAAAATAAAGAGCATTATTTGTTATTACATTTTTTTCAGTGTGGACATTGCAAATGTACATTGAGACATTGAAATAAAAAAATCATTTTTGGAGACATAATTTACGATAGGGTGTCAGTAAGTTTAATTGTGTCGTGTATAGCTACATTGCTTCATATATTAATATTGCCAGCAATGGAGAAGAAATTCACTTTGTTACATATCGTTTATTTGTATTGTAATCGTCTATCAATGCAATCTATCCAGAGAATGCATTATTAAAATGTGATAAAATGCATTATTTATTACGCTATATTGTATGACGTACATTATTGCAAACATCCCAATGAATTTGCTGTACCTTGGTGGACGGATATCCAATTAATTTTGCTGTACAGTCGCTCTTTATAGGCTATTTTGAAATTGAAATGCTTACCCTTTAGTATTAACTTCAATTAAATCCACTCAATATAAGTTAATAGGGACATTTATCAAAACGACAGTTGTTGGAAATCTATTTCCACAATTTCTGAGAATTGAAAAAATATTGAGAATTGAATAATAATTCATTTAATTTTTAGTCAAACAATTAATTAATTAATAATGATATGCTCTCTTATTTTGCTGCAGACCTGCCATTAAATCATTATGAAAGTTATCGCCTTTATATGCATTCTTCTAAATGTGTTGCAGATATTCAATGTATCCTTAATGTTTACTAGTGAAGAAAATACTATCTCACTAGTGTTTTATAACCTAGCAGAAAGTTACTTCGATATATTATAATTTATTTACTCCAACCTCATTAGGCATTTGTCAATTCAAGTAACTAGAAATATTAATATGGTAGATATATAATGGTAGCTGGTTGTCAAGGAGATAAATACTATTTTCTTATAATGTAGCATCATTTATGACGATTCCATCTATAATATAAAAACCTCATACAATATGAAAAAAACATTGAATAACTTTAAATAACATACAAAAATGACTTGTGGTTGCAACGTATTTCACCATCACTCAGTCATATTTAATGCTGCTGTAACCATTTTATATTTCAAGTGTTGGCCACAACCTCGCCCCTGGCACCTTAGAAGCTACACCTTGGAGTGGAACATATTAAATCATGTGATTCCACCATGGTATCTCATTGTCGCCATAGTTACCTTTTTCGTCCGTTCACATTGCAATTTAAATCTGTTTAGAAGAAATGCTGTAGATTTACGCATATGTAATATGATCTTTTATAAAATTGTTGATACATGTAACGTGAATATTTCTGTAGTTAATTCGCATAAATAAAAAAGGTTTAATAAATGTATTTTTTTCATTTTACCATATACATAATTCAATACATTCAAGTCATATTTTATATACGTTTATTTGTCAGCCATAGAATGACATATGCTAGAAGCTTAACTCCCTCATACCATTCTGATTCCGAGCCTTGAAACATGATTTGTATATAAACAATGTACAGTTACAAGTTTATGTACAATTTATATATCTCTATATAAATACAAGAGTGGCATTTAACATTGCATATGGATACAAGTGTGGCGGTTTATAATTTGCTAAAAATAAGTGGACGAAAATGCGATCACAGCTGCTATATCAGCTTTACAAGCCCAGAGTATAATACGTCGATTTCCATTCACATCGTGATGCTCTTAGGACGATGTATTTTGTCTTCGAGAAGAGGGAGACACACATTACACCATAAAGAATTAACGACGTGTTTAAACATATCAGGTTCTCTGACGTGTCACAGACGAGAAAGAGACAATAAGTCAGAAATCAAAGAATTATGTCAATTGAAATTTAACATCATTTTTGTTTTAAGTATTTTAAATTTGTGTATTGCTTTCCCCTTTGACGCCGATGGGAAAGGTGGCACAAGGTAAGAGCATATGTGTCTGTCGGTAAAATAGCCGAGGCTTTCCGAAATACACCATATGGTTTACGACGTTAGACGGAAGGTAGGTTTGCATAATACTGACCTTGTAAATTTGACTTATATACACATGCATGTGACTGTAAATACAGGTTGCGTTATAAATAGAATATACTCAATCCTTGGAGAGAGTGTTGTGTTAATAAAAACAGACCTTTAATATTAACAAACATTCACTCACCCAAAATGTATTTATTTTATAAAGCATTTCTCGGAAAATTCTAGTTACTGTAGAATACTTTACTTTTGCTTGGAATTTATTTTCGCTATTTTCATTGAAGGGATGGTTCCGTGAAAATAAAATCCAGCGAATATACTTTTTTTCCTATATTTTACATTAAACTCATCAAAAATCAGTGAAAATATTCCATACAAACAC